ATTACACTTTTTTTGTTTGACCTTTTTACATCGATTAAAAAATGAAAATAAAGCAATTCAATCAAGGATTAAACGTCATGTATTTTTTTAAATACCATAGTAAATGTGTCCAGGGCTAGACACTATCACTCAAACCTGGGAATTGTTCTACCTATGTCCTTTTCTATTGTCTATATTGGCACTCCCTGGAAAAGGATAATCAGTTAGTTCTCTTTTATTGGGTTGCCACACCTGTTGCTTGAGGGAGATTTATGCAATACTGTCAATAATAAAAGATAACATTAAATATGTAGGCTAGAGGATCAGAAATGTTCAGTCATATGGCACCTTTAAAAGTTGCTTTACTGTTGCAACACTAGTCATTAAAAAGGGGGTACAAAGTGTTCAAAAGCACACTTGGTAAACCTATGCTGAGGATTTAAATGTGTTCTTGTCTGAATAGATCTCTTCCAAGATCTGCAAGGGTCTTAACAGAATGTTTTTGATTAAATTGTTAGCTTTGTTGTACCTTGTAGGGTAAACTGATAATACAAATAGCACCCACTGTAGGTAACGTGAGCCCCTTGCACCCACATAATTATTATGTATCCCACAACATGGAGGTTATATTCTTGCTACTTTAGCTTATTGCCAACACAACGACATGATCATATTAAAATATATTGAAAATGCATTTACTTTAAGAGCTTATTGTTTGATATAGCTTTTAGGTTTTAAATATCATAAATATATTTTCCTTATCTCCTAAGCCCTGCATTGTTTGGCAAGATTGAAGGACCCTGGAGTGACAGTTTGCTCTTATATAAACTCTTCCTTCAACTAAAGTCAATAGCATTGCACCCTGCAAGCAATTTCATCTGACCCTTTCACATTCATTATTGTACTGCATATGCTTTATTTTCACATTTTTGGTACAGAGACAATTACAACTGGAAGATGATACTTATGATACTTTTTTTAAAGACAAGACTACATTGTGTGTTTTTATTTTGGATCGCCTCTTAATGATTTTGATGATTCTGTTATTGGAAATGTTCTGGTAAAGGATTCCATTATTATTATTTGGTTTTCCATAGCGAAACATCTTTATTTTTCAAACAGACTAAAAGACAGGTCACATGTTTGCTCAGGATTAGTAAATTTAATTGATGTCGTGAAATTCTTAGCTCTGCCCACGTCACCCTGGGCAACGGGGCTAATCACGTGGGATATTGAACACACCTCCTGTGTAGGCGTTGTTTTCTCAAGAAGCTGACAGTGAGCTTCAAAGTGTTCACTGCCACCTCACATAGAACATTTGGAATATTCTTTATTGGATAGGACATCTGCAGGATCAGTTGCTAGTAAAAACATGCGTTCGAAGTTAAAAGCACTTTTTTTTTATTCATTAAGAAATCATGTTATGAAAATAATGACAACTAACCATATATCAAACAAATGTATCTTTCCATATGTTAACAACAAAGGTTTGCTCTGGAAGACGCAACGTCTCAGCGGTCCCCAGTGTCGCTGTCTTCTTGTGCGAGGAGTGTGCTTGGTCTCCCACTTCCATACTATAAAAATGTTTACAAGGCTTTTCACATCTCTTCTCAGTGTCCACATGAGAACACGTTTCAAATCATTTTTGTTTGTCAGGGAGAAATTCACATAAACCAGATTCAGTGTTTGTGTTATGTGGTCATCTTCTCCATATATTAATAATTTACACAAAACCTGTACATACTTACAGCAGGCAAGAGCCTGTTTCTGAGGGGATGATCACACAGAGAAAAGAAGCAACACACAGTGAAGTGAATCTTTACAAAGTCAATGTGATAATGTGGGAGGTCAAGATGTTATGAGCATATTAGACACTTGCCTCTTCATCAAGACATGCAATACAAATACTTTTGTAACTCTCATTCAACCCTATGGCCAGTGGGCACAGCCCCACCTAGTGTCAGCAGAAAGTATTAAAAAATGAAAATCATCTGATTCGTCTGTACATTGCTGTTTTAGTCTGTGTTCTTCTAATTAGTGTATACAGTGACAGTGTGCCTATTGAGCTGTTTAGAGCCATGTGGGACAAAACCCGATCATGCCCCTCCCTCTCACTGTCTAATTGAATGGTGACTGTAAAAACTACACTGCGCATGCTCAGAATATGTTCCTATTTTGGCCCATTCCCAAACCGCCCCCTACACCCTACCCCTCCGTTTGCGCGTTCACGCGGAGGGTCCGCCATATTGAGGGCTGTTCCAAAGCAAGAGTGTGGAGGGGGAGTGGGCTATCAAGCCCTCAAACAGCGAGTCTGCAGCGGTGCTGACTTGAGACCGGTCTCTACCTGACCGGAGTCCCGCTGTGTGTGTCCGTCAGGAAACACGCTGTTTACAAGTAGCCTAGTTCCAGCAAACATCCACTGATAAACTGCGATGTTAACAACCTCATGATAACCTCATATGTTTTTAACTTAGGATCATACCTGTGTTTAGTCTAGAAAAAGGTAAATGTGTGCATTTTATTATAAAGTTGTGTATATTTACAGACCGTTGCAAAAACTAAGAAGCTTATAAACATCAGGTTTAAAACTAAAAGAGCTTTGAAACACAATGAAAGATGTTTGGAGTTTTATTTGAGTTATTCATTTAAACTTTTTGTCTAAGAGATGCTGATTTGAAACCGTTGTTACATACAGTTACGTATTTCCTGTTTCTGCCGGAGAGAGGGGAGGCCGTCCCAAAGCTTGCTGCTGTATTTACTCCCTCCATCTGACAGGAGGGAGCCTCGTTGAGCTGTGAATGTGGCTACAGACGGAGTTCACTCCATCACGGAGGGGTAGGGTCGAGGGAGTGGTTTGGGATTGGGCCTTTATGTGTGTGGCAAAAAATAATGACCATAGGGGCATAGAGCTGCCATCCCCACCATACATCATCTCACATAATTCAGAGCTGATTGGCTGTAAGTACGTGTGGTGTGTGAAGAGGAGACGAGAGAGCTGCAGTGACGCGTCCTAAAACCCGGAAGTAAGCTGCGCATGGCTTCCCTCCATGCTTCCCTCGACAAAAAAGCAATGAGATTTCTCCATAGATACAGGCCCAATCCCAAACCACTCCCTCGACCCTACCCCTCCGTGATGGAATGAACTCCGTCTGTAGCCACACTCGCAGCTCAACGAGGCTCCCTCCTGTCAGATGGAGGGAGTAAATACAGCAGCAAGCTTTGGGACGGCCTCCCCTCTCTCCGGCAGAAACAGGAAATGTCGTAACTGTATGTAACAACGGTTTCAGATCAGCATCTCTTAGACAAAAAGTTTAAATGAATAACTCAAATACAACTCCAAACATCTTTCATTGTGTTTCAAAGCTCTTTTAGTTTTAAACCTGATGTTTATAAGCTTCTTAGTTTTTGCAACGGTCTGTAAATATACACAACTTTATAATAAAATGCACACATTTACCTTTTTCTAGACTAAACACAGGTATTATCCTCAGTTAAAAACACATGAGGTTATCATGAGGTTGTTTACATCGGAATGTATCAGTGGATGTTTGCTGGAACTACTTGTAAACAGCGTGTTTCCTGACGGACACACACAGCGTGACTCCGGTCAGGTAGAGACCGGTCTCAAGTCAGCACCGCTGCAGACTCGCTGTTTGAGGGCTTGATAGCCCACTCCCCCTCCACACCAAGCCCCCAGGAAGTGCGCCGGACTCAGATGAAAATATTCGTGCTGGCCAAACGGCGGTACTACACTTCCGTTTGGTTGCCAGGCCCGGAAACACTTTTCCCCATTGACTTACATGGGGAAAGAGTGGTCTGTAACTCGTTGGATAATTTTTTTTAAACTAAATAAACTACACAGTATGAACGTTTGTATAGCCCTTATTAAAAACATTCGTTCCTCAAGTTGTAAGAATGTGCTAATAACGTTATTCTGAGAGTTATTTCCCTCTGCATTATGAACGCTCATCTAACCCATGGGACCGCGCCGCCCGGCACATTCATGTTACGTGTCCCGACCAATCAGAGCACACTGCTCACAGGGAGGGTGGGGGCTGGAGCTATTGGAGCTACAACGAGCCATTAAAGGCAGAGAGTGAAATTCAGTGAATACACGTAGTTTACAGAGATGCTGTATGAGAAACCAATGTGAGTTGCGTTTATCTTTACCCATGGATGCACAATAAGAACGGACCCATATCGTCTTACTGCCACCCCACGGAGCTGTAATAATGGATATATTGCACATGTTTGCTGTAATTCATTATCATAGGCTACTACATGGGCTGTATGATTAAATCTTGTACCGTAAATGTTGTATTAAATAAACATTATTAACGTCCCTGTAGCTTCGTATTGCACTAAGAAGCTTATTGCACTGTATATAAATATATATATATATATATACAGTGCAATAATTATTTCATGCTAAATGAAGCTCTGTTGGATATCACTAGATCCTGTTACAGCGTAATATAAGTACATAACGATTGATGTGTACATTAGCATCATTACTAGCTAGCCGCTAGCTGCTAACTGCCGCCTCGTTCATATCAAATCCATGATAACAACAATATATTACCATGCTGTCATGAACGCACGGTGCTGTTACGTGTACGCAAATTGACGTGCTTGATGTGAACGAGCATTTTGGTTAAAGTTGCGCATGCTCTATGAGTGCACATACGGGTACTTCTCAGGCATGCTGCGTAATCTGTGACGTTTCACTCTCTCAAAAGTTGGGCCATTTTATCATCATGCGCTAATGAGCAGCTCTCATAGGAATGAATGAGGCCCCGCCTCCCACGCTGTATCCAGTTCTTATTATACATCCATGCTCCACACTCGTTGCTTTGGAACAGCCCTCAATATGGCGGACCCTCCGCGTGAACGCGCAAACGGAGGGGTAGGGGTAGGGTGTAGGGGGCGGTTGGGAATGGGCCACAGTCGGCAAGCGAGGGAACGCCCACAAAACGTCACATCCGGTTCGCGCTGAGGGGGAAAATAAACCGGCTTCCACAATGCCCAGGAGCTGCAGTGTGCCCTTTTGTACAACTAACAAGCTTAAAAATCCAAATCTAAAATTTTATATTTTGCCCAACGGGAGCACAGAGCCCAGGAGAAGAACCCGGTGACTTCAAGCGATCCGTCGGGAGGATGAGTTAGGCCACCTTTGGGATCCAAAATCCAAACATGTGTACGTCTGTAGTCAGCACTTCATTACAGGTATGACAACGTTATTCACACAATAACAGTGTTAAATTGTTTCGTAGTTAACATGAATGTTCAATTACTAGTTTTAAGAGAAGTTAACTAACTACTACGTTATGCAGGCTACCTTGCTTGAGTATACAAAAACACAGCTATGCTAACAACACTGGTGGTAGCTTCCGAGCTTTCTGCAGTTAAAATGTATTTCACCCCCTTCTATCCCCTTCTCATTTCGTTTGTGAACTGTCTTGCCCTAGGCTTAAAAAACTAGGACATAGCCCACCCAGACTACACACCCTCGCTGTTCCCACATAAAAAGACAAAGTCTCCCAAGTCAGTACTTCAGAGGCTGGAGAGAAGGAGGAAGCGTGAGGGTGTTCAGTCTGCCCAACCAGAATCCCCAACATCAGAAGCTCCCATACCTCTTCAGGAGTTAGAGAGAAAACAACTTTATGAAGAATTGTATAATTTAAGAAGAGAAAGAGATGAGGCCATGAAGGAGCGAGCTGAAGCCATCAGAGAATTGGAGACGTTGAAAATGTCGGTAAACACTGTGAGAGAAAATGACACTAAATGTAAAGTCATGACAGGCCTGTCATGGACAGTATTTGACACTCTTCATCAGTACCTGGTACAGTTTGTTAAGTCACAGAAAACATCCAAGATGTCAACACAAGACCAGCTCTTTATTACTCTGGTGAAACTGCGGCAGAACCCCTCAACCGATATGATGTGTGGAATATTTGACCTGGCACATAGATATAGCACTTTCCTGGATGTATTCTCCCGATGGTTGGATTTGATGTACGCCAACATTTCTTTTTTGATTAAATGGCCTGATAGAGTGTATCAGAAGCACAGTACCAGCAGAGGTTCTCTTCCACTGCCCTAGAGTGACTGCAATTATCGACTGCTTTGAGATCAGAATTGAACACTCAAAGAAGCTGAAAACAAGGTGAGATATTTTTCTTTTTGATAGCATGCATAAAGTGTCGGGTTTTTGTAATACTTACCTGGCTGTCTGTGTATATGTACATAATTTATAGATAAGTATTACTAACGACTGTCTCTTCTCACAGAGCTATCACCTACTCAAAATACAAAAACTGGACAACAGTGAAGTATTTCATTGCATGTCACCCATCTGGCTCAATCACATATCTCTCCAAAGGCTGGGGAGGGAGGGCTTCAGATGTGCATATTGTAAGGAACTCAGACTTCTTATCTCAGAAGTTCCACCATGCAGGAGATCAGGTAACAATTGAACTGTTTTTTTTTTTCTAATTTAAGTATTATTTGTGAATTTATTATTTACCCATAGTTACCATTTTTGAGTTACTGTTGAAGTAAAGTAGTGTTTTTAAGTATTTGTTATGTTTATTTCAGATTTTAGCCGACAGGGGCTTCACTTTGAAGGATGACTTTGCTGTTCTGGGTGCACAGCTCATCACACCGTCTTTCACGAGGGGCCGAAAACAACTGTCAGCCGAAGATGTTGCAAATTCTCGTGTGACTTCGAACATCAGAATTCACATTGGTAAGTATAGAGTCAGCAGTCAGATTCATACAGTATGTACATTTTAATGTTTTTGGTATTCAGAGTGTGCTGCATCATCAAATCACTGTTGCTACTTGCCGCTGACGTGGTTCACATTTCCCTAACTAAATTAATTACTGTAACAGATCCGGGTTAACAAGTGCTGAGACGTTATTCAATTAATCACATCAACGAGTACATGTGTAATCCCTACTTTGTAGGGTGTCTTAAGATAACATTTGATCTTAAAAACATGTTATTCTATATTTAAATACATTGAACTGTTGTTCACATTTAGTGCAATATCAAGATAACAGGAAGTTAACAGGGATCTTTCTTCACTTTAACATGAAAAAGAAACACTAATTATAGGACACAATGCACTGACGATATGATATAACAGGTCAACTGTGCTACTCCTGTGAAACTCAAACATAACAATGTAGATAAACAGAATTTTAACAACAAATATGTGATCTATGGTCTGCAGAGAGTCATTGGTGCCCTGAAGAGCCGGTACCACATTCTGGATGGCCCACTTCCTCTGCGCCTGGTGAAGAGACTGCAGGATGAGAGAGAGAAGAGGCCATGATGGATAAGATTGTGCATGTCTGTGCCGCACTAATGAACCTGTCTGGCAGTGTCATGTACAACCGTTACAGAATCTGAGAGTAAGAACAAAATCAATCATCATTCATTTAATAATGAGCAACAGAGAACAATATTTTATGCAACTTTTTTATACAACAAAGGAGTCATTATTGTTCCAATTGTGCCATTTAGCAGGTTCAGTTGAGACATAATGGATCTTTCTAATCAAAACCACCTGTTGTTTGTCTTTCCACAGGTCCCTGAACTGATCTCAGTGCTGCTCTGCTGCTGCACACCCTGTCACCCTGCCTCTGATGCCTGACGCTCTGCCTCTGATGCCTGACGCCCTGCCTCTGATGCCTGTCACCCTGCCTCTGATGCCTGTCACCCTGCCTCTGATGCCTGACGCTCTGCCTCTGATGCCTGACGCCCTGCCTCTGATGCCTGACGCTCTGCCTCTGATGCCTGACGCTCTGCCTCTGATGCCTGTCACCCTGCCTCTGATGCCTGACGCTCTGCCTCTGATGCCTGTCACCCCTGCCTCTGATGCCTGACGCTCTGCCTCTGATGCCTGTCACCCTGCCTCTGATGCCTGACGCTCTGCCTCTGATGCCTGACGCTCTGCCTCTGATTCCTGTCACCCTGCCTCTGATTCCTGTCACCCTGCCTCTGATGCCTGACGCTCTGCCTCTGATGCCTGACGCTCTGCCTCTGATGCCTGACGCTCTGCCTCTGATGCCTGACGCTCTGCCTCTGATGCCTGTCACCCTGCCTCTGATGCCTGACGCTCTGCCTCTGATGCCTGACGCTCTGCCTCTGATGCCTGTCACCCTGCCTCTGATGCCTGACGCTCTGCCTCTGATGCCTGACGCTCTGCCTCTGATGCCTGTCACCCTGCCTCTGATGCCTGACGCTCTGCCTCTGATGCCTGACGCTCTGCCTCTGATGCCTGTCACCCTGCCTCTGATGCCTGACGCTCTGCCTCTGATGCCTGACGCTCTGCCTCTGTTGCCTGATGGTCTGCTGCCACTTGTGTTGCCTGATGGGTCACTCCCTGTGCTGCTTTCGACTGGACTGTGTTCTGCCTACTTAGCAGAAACATATACAGTGCTTATCATAAATGAGTACACCCCCTTTGAAAAGAACACAAGAACAATTTGATCAACAATATCAACAATTATTATCTGATTTAGTATCAAAGTCACAAGTATAGAACATTTTGTACAGCCCATTATTCATTCTATTTGTAGCCTATGTATGTTTTCATGTTGTAAATAAATGTATAGGCTTTGTGATATTTGATTTCGTACATATAGTCTAGTAGTCTATGTTGATACTGAATGAAATAGCTATAATATGCTTCAAAATGAATTGGTATAAATAAATATGTAACTCTGTCACAGTGACTTATTTGTTACCATTTTTACACTGATAGGAAATTCAACCACCTACCTGTGCATCTTTCAGCTCCCGAAGTTTGTGTTGTATGTGTTGTGACCAAAATGTTTGCATCACATTAATGGCACCACTGATGAAGTCCTCATCTCTTTGTACTCTGAATATCAGGCAGGTCTGAGGAGGAGTCCAAGTGATGAAGTCTGCATACATCCGTCTGGTAACAAACATCTGCATTTGGACCTATCAAATGCAATGCAATCATAACACTAATATGTACATTATAGACAGTATGCCATCTGTGGATAATTGCACAAAATGCTCCAGACTTATTAGAGGTGTGCAGGTCTATGCAGGTGAAATATTACCTGAGTGAAATATGCATGACTTCTCTTTAAGCTTGTCAGACATTCCAGATGTCCTCTTTTGTCCTCAAGCCACTGTTGATACCCAGTAGAGGTGTCTTGCCACCACCTGTAAGGACACTTAGCCTCTCTAACACCCTCACCACAGCAGTCACAGGAAACATAGCCATCACATGAAACCCCCAGGTATGGCATAGTTTGGCAGATGCGGAAGCCAGCCTTTGCGGCTTCTCTGTCACCCTCCAGGATGGCTTTACATCACATCGGATGAAGGTAGTTTATGATGGAGCACAACTCCAACAAAGCCACTTGTAAAAAAGTTGTGTGCCTCCAGGGACCGATAGTTCTTTTGGCGTGTGTGTGTAAATCCCTGCGTGATAACGTACCGAGTCGTCAATAACCAATATGTATATGCAGCTCATGATGGCTATTGTGCAATAACAACCATTGTGTGATGAACAAATTCACTAAAACGTGCTAATTTCCTTGTTAGACATATAAATTATGTGAGGTTTAATTCATCAGTTAACGTGATTTTGCCTCTTACCGGGTGATTCAACCAGGTAGCAGAAGATATCCGGGAATGAAACTTCAGGCCATTCAGTCGGAGCATTCGTCCACTCTTTAATAAGATATGGACAAGAATCCGATCCTATTAAATACAAAATGTTAAGGTATCTATCCCTGGAAATGGGCTGCAATGAATCAATATATGACATGTTTGTTTAACATTTAAAATCCGCGCGCTTACAGTACTCCGGGCGAGGGGGAAATGATTGTTTTCCCCCTCGAAATGCCCCGCCCCCAACTGTGACGCGACGCCGACTGTATGTATAGGATTTTAGAAATAGCTCAAAATAAGATCTGTGGGAAACGTACCTGTTAGATAAATGCACGTTTTGTTCAGCCGGATAATATCCACATGTCTGCCCTACTTTTATAATTTTCGAATAATAAATCTATCGATTAGATTTATGATAGACTTTTTAAACTACAAGAAGATAAGGAGGACTTTTACAAAAAAGTCATAGAGATTTTTGTACATAGGGATAGGCAAATGGACTTCATCTTCAAGTCAAGGTAAGACCGCAATTTTATTGAAAATGGGATGCGAACAATTCAATATTTAAATGATAAAATTACATTTTTGGGTATCCTTTTGTTGAACTGTCTGTTCAACCTCACTGCACGTCACTGCAGAGGCTTATATGTAGACATCTACGTTTTTTGTGCCCCACCACTTTTGTACATATACAAACGCCACTGCACGCTTCTGACCATATGTGGAAGTACAACTTCCTACAGGTTCAACCTCTACCGGCTGCAGCTGGACCCTTCTCTTTGAGAGTGAGGCGGCGCAGTTTCTCTCCACGGGCTGCGGAAGCGAAATGCTTGATGGGAACGACGTTCTTATTATACATTCATGCTTCAGGCGAGCTTTTTGAGACCTCCACCGGCTGCAATCGGCTATTCTCGTCTACTTTCGAGGCGAGCCGCAGCTCATCTCAAACAAGCCTAGTAATGTAGGAGAGTCTGCACATCCTAAATTAAATATGAATTATAGCGGACAAATTATTGTTAAGATAAGATCAGTGTGTGCAAACTTTACAACACCAAGTATATGATGGGCGTGTATATTCCAAGTCAATATCAATATAAGGGTAGATACTATCCTACAGTGACTTCCTCGTCCCTCAGAAAAGTTTCGTTTCATTGGGGAGTTCACAAGAAACTATCTGTGATTTGCACTGATGTTGCTGCCCTCTTAAGTTTCGATTCGTACAAAATGGCTTTTGACTTGTTTGGAAAACGAAACACACTGTATGTGCCGGGAAACGACGATTGGGGGTTGGACATCAGCAGCCTTTATAAATAGGAGAACTGATGAAACATCATTTATTTGGCAAACTTGGTACAAGCTGAACCGAACGGACAACTCTTCAAATATGAATGAGGTAGGCCTACTGTTGTTTCCATTTAGATGTTTTACTTTTGTGTTATTTTCATTAGCATCCGATTAAATAAAAGTATGTTTAAGGTTATATTTGGGGAAATCTAACTTTTATAGAGGACTATTTTGATACCAGTGAAATAAAAAGGTTCTGATTGATAAAGATTACAAAAAAGTACTTCATTCACCATCCCTGTATGTATAATTAGCATTTGTTTGTTTGCATTTTATTGGTTAATTTCCTGCTTTGGGGTTGGGCTTTATTCTTTGTGAGACAGCTGCAATATCCACCACAGAGAGGCTGCAGGAACTCAGTTCAGAGGAGGCCCTAGTTTGATAAACAGTTGGTATAAGTGCAATCAAATTCAGACCACTCATTCAGAAGCCTAACTTGAGAGTTATGCCTGATGTTGATTATCTTGAGAAATGTATGAAGTAATATCCTTCTTCACTCGTTCACTCCTGCACCTGCTTGTTAGCCAGGCTGGTATATTGTGGAGAAAATGTGTTTCATCCATGAAACTGAATCATAAACCACTGTACACTAGAAAAGCTTTTAGCAACACCTCTTGTAAGCCTTAATGTTACTTATGTCCAAAGTCCAGAGGCCCATGTAGGCAGCAGTTGCCTTTTTATTTCTTTTGTATATTATACTGCAGTTTGACTCAGCAAAAGTAAACTGGTTAGTTAGCTGAATAAGACCGGACACCCCCCTTAAATCTAGGATTGGGTTGGTGTAATAAAGACCTTAGGTTTTCAAGATCCATAAACCTGGTTTGTTAAAAGTCAGCTTAGTTTCACACATTTTTCTGATAAATTAAATATTGTTAGATAACATTGACATAGTTCTCTTGTATTGTCTGTTTCTGAAATAAAAGATCAATATGCCAATGCATCTGTAATTTGGGACATGACAGTACTTGTCTGAGCCACACCCTTAGTTTTGAAATGGACAAACAGGTAAGTCAACACATGAGTAAACTATAAATACGATAAATAAATAAAAGAATACATATTGAATAAAGATCTATGTATTTGTATCATGTAAAAGGATCAGGGTACGCATCAATCTGCGAGAGAAGGTAAAGTTGAAAAAACAAATTATTTAATTTCTTTGTTACAAAAAGTATTGGCAGCTTATTCCTTAAAACAGAAGCCTCAGATTGCTGCTCAGTCTGGTTGGCGAGCAGCAACCAGATTCATTTAAATATATATATATATTTAAGAAGTACAATATATGACAAGGGGCCATTATACTTTTAGAATTTGTTTAGTTTTGGACTTTTATGTTATTTATGCAGTTGGTCCCCGGTCCGTAGTTTGGATATCCCTGGTCTAGAGACTGCCTTCATCTCCTAACTTTAAAATGATACAAATTAAGTAAATACATTAAAAAAAACGTTTGGGTGATTATGTATTGCTCCATATTTGACTGCAGGGGAGATACAAAAAAATGCTCTACTTAAAAAAGGGGAGCTTAGGTAAAGTGGCTCACACCCCTTTGGTTTTACAAAAATGGCACAGTCCAATCATCCACCCCACAAAGGCAGGTGTGATTCGGCAGCTCACTCTTTTTCTAGGAGGAGGTGAGCTGCAGGAAACTGACAGGAGTTTTGTAGCGTCCCCGGCTGAATGATGGTCATACCCTCGAACTGATGTTAACTGTTTATTGCACACCCTTGCTTGTATACAATCATTACCAACGTAA